TCTCTTAAAGACATTTTTAAAGTAATTTTGTATCATTTCATGCTAAACTTTTTAAATTAAAATAATCATTTTATTAAAACACAATGTTGAGCCTAAACTTTTTTACTTAAGTAAAGGAATTAAATTGGTACCTATACATTTAATAGTCTTTTTTTAAACAGTTATCTGTACTTCAATAAATAAGATGAGTACTTTTGACACCCTGGCTAAAAACATAGAAATAAAGAGCATGTGTGATAGCATAAAAAAAGAACAAAAAAAGATAAAAAACAAACATGTTTCAATTATAGGTTGTCACAATGGTGTGTTTTTTTTACCAGCTCCAGGGAGCAGTCACTGTTTGACAGATCCAGAGTTTGGAGACAGTTTGGGTTACTCAGGAAACTTTGCAAATTCTGCAAAGACAATAATGTTTCAGGCAACAAAGGGCAAGTGAGGAAGCATTTATATAAAGCTGAACAGAAGAATCCATATTTCTATAAGGTGGAGAAGACCTACAGTAAATGTAGGTTTGACTTACCTGCAGGTCATCTCCTCTGAGGGAGTTCCCTGACAGGTCCAAATGTGTGAGGGTGGAGGCCACGATAGGGTTGGCACACAGTGCCTGGCAGAGGCTGTTCACACCTGAAATAGATAAAAGAAGAAAGATTTAGGGAGTTGCATGAGCAGCAGTAAGAACTGTTTGTTTGCTGTGCGCTGACCTTTGGGAGACATGGAAGTCTTTGAGAGGTTCAGGTGCTTCAGACCCATTGGTAGTTTGGCTAGTTGGGCACTCAGAGCATAAACACCTGAAAGATGCAACATTTACAATGCAAATAATCAGCATCAGAGAATTGTTAGAAAGTTCAATTAAATTTGTAAGTGTCTGTGCTCAATATTTCAGTTTAGCGGCATCATTTTTCAGAAAACAGTGAAACTATGCAACATGTCCAATCAAATAAATTCAATCCAGTTATTTAGACAAAATTAAATCTGGTTACATTCATTTAAATTTGGTTCATTTAAATAACATGCAATGCTTTAGAATCTGGACATGCATAATAAAATTCCAGCTATAAAAATGTATGCATCTATAAAAAGCCTACCTAACCTAAACTACTAGTATTGTTGCAACCTTTTGATAAGCTTCAACAAAGCTGTGAGGGACTCTGTTTACAGCAACACCAGAATAGTCCTCCTATTTACTGCACCATCCAATGCAATGCTGGTAGTTAACATTTTTAACACTTTGTGAATCACGTGTCTGTAAAACTGTTTCATAAAGTAGGACTCTTCCAGACCTGGTCCAAACATGTATAGCTCTGTCAGGATTCTATTGCTCTATTTCTGTTTTAGAAACACCCTGATTACTCTCTCCACCAAAACTGCTATAAGCTTTTAAAGTCTCGTAAATCCTCTCTGTTCTGATGCCTTCTTTGAACTTCCGCAAATCATTCACTATATGCAGCTTTTTAATAAAAGTGAATAAACTGTTTAAATGCAAGGAATGTGCATTTAACAGAGTCGCTGCTATCTGGTTTTAAGTCGAAGATTCTGAGCTCTAACAAACCCAATTAATGACAAATAGATAACTACATTCATGCCATACCCTGAATAAACAGAAAATAAAAGTTGTGTGTGTGGGTGGGAGGATAGTAACCTTTGTCCTCCAGGGAGTTGTTGCTCAGGTTGAGTGTGTGCAGCGTGCAGGATGGGTTATGTGACAGAGCGCCTGCAAGTTTCTGAGCAAAGTCACTGAGGAAGAGACAAAGCAGGAACAGAATATCAGAATCAGAGTTCAGGTTTAACAACACCTCTATAAAATCCTGCAAACCACATTCAAATTATACATTTCTATTCATCATTTGAATGTAAATATAAAAAAATATATATACATTTAATTTATCAGTTTTATAAGCATTTTTTTTCTTTGATTTTAAGTCATCTTGTGCCAGAAGTAGCTTATTTGTGGATAAACATTAGCGGACCTTTTGAGCCCAGCGTTATCCAGAACCAGTTCTTCTAGTCGGCTGGATCGAGCAACAACTCTGAAAATATGGTCACACACATCTGCAGACTAGAAGACAGAAGGGTACAACATGAAGGAGGAAACAGATTTAATTTACACACACACACACACAAAAAAAAAAACTATTCTAGAGCTGTAGCTAAAACGAAGCTGTTACCAGTTTGTAGTCTTTGACAGACAGTTTGGTGAACCACTGGTTATACTCCAAAACTGCGATGATTGCTACAAGATCCCTACAAGAAAAATACATTAGAGAGAATAAAAAGCCATGTTAGATTGTTTCAGAAAATCTGATCCTAGCTTTAAAATTATAAATACATAAATTGTGTTTGTCCTGAACTGAAATAAAAAAATCAAAAGCATATCCACCCTGGGTAGAGATAGGTTGAGACAGCAGCCATCTGATATCTTGGCTGATATTAAAGTTTTTTTTTGCTTTTTGTTTTTCGGTTAGCTGATATGCACACTTGTGGTTGTTTGCACGTTGATTCATTAGTGCCTTGGGATCACATGAAGCGCATCCATTGTCACTTCCTCCATTTGCCATCTATCTTTAATATTTTGATTCTTTAAAAACAATTTATTTTTTGTTTAAACTGAACATTTGTTATCACTGTGTCACTTTTATTGTGTAAATGGTGTAAGAAAAAGCAATATTTGGTCAACAGGATCTTCACCTCCTGCCCCAAAATAAAAAATATCAGCAGCACATACTGTGGATTAGTTAAACTGATGTTAAACTAAACCCTAGGGGATCTGATCACATCTGAACTGATCACAAAAAAGCTGCGAATTCAATCAAAAATAGATTTGTTTAGCTTTTACTCTCTTAAAATGTCACCAGGACTTTTCCCAGCATTAGTTTAGTTTATAACACATAGAATGACCTGGAAGATTTCAGTTTCAATGAAAAGAAATTGAGTAGAAATACAATGAAATATAAATAAATCTAGAATTAATTCAATAACACATTTCTGGAAAACAAAATCCATGTTAAGCATTAACCAGCCACATTTACGTGAATCATAATGGCAAATTATTGGTGCCCTTTAAGAATGTTAAGGAACATAAAGGTAACTACAGCTTTTCTTTAAATTCATGCTTCCTGTTTTTAGGTTCCTCAACACAGAAATGGTTCCCAAAATAAACCTTTACCAATTCCCCAATTCAGACTCTGTGCATAATTTGAATTAAAAAAAGAAGTGGTGCAAGCTGAAAACAAGGGAACATAAGAAAGGACTCAGCACACCTAATGATCTACAGAGATCATGTGATTCCTATACTCTAATACATCAGTGATTGTGAATCAGTGATGCTGATGAAAACATGTATTTCTTTTTTTCACTTTGTATAAATGGATCTGAGATCTGATCACTCAGGGAGGAGTTTAAATCGCACATAGAGTACAGTATGGTTTCCAACCTGTTCTCCAGATGAACAAAGTCCTGCAGGTTCAGTTCTCTGGTGTCTTGACTTAAATAGATGGTGTCAACATCCTGCAAAATGTAACAACAGAAAAAAAAACAAAAAACAAAACATAAAGTAAGTCAACATCGGTATGAAAGCAGAGATGATAACAATAAAAAAGGAAGAAAAAATGGGAGGCAGAGGCAGTTTGCATAGAGTAAAGAAGTTGTTTAAATTAATGCTGTAGTTTGAAAAGAGGTGCACACAGAAAGAAAACATGTAAGAAAAAAAAAAGAAACAGAGCCAAACATGCACATAAAATATACCACAGAAAGAAAATTTAAATGCTAAAGAAAATATCAAAGAAGGAGGTCATCTCCTCATACAGACCCATTGGACCTCCTCTCTGTATGGCAGACCCAAGCTGTCACACACACACCAGTACTGATGAGAAAAGCCACCTGAAAGAGTGGTTCAAATGCAAAACATTTATCTAAAACCCTTTATTTTGTTAAAAGTTTTATTTTATTTTTATTATCTTTATCTCCTTATTGTTACTTATTATCACTTATTTACCACAGGGTCCTAAATCGGCTGAACTCTGCTCGTTCCAGAAGGTCAGCAGGGAGGTTAACCTCTCAGGAGGTTTCAAATTCAACTTCCTCATCATCTTCCTTCCTTACAGAGAGATACAGAGGGAGGAAGAGCAAATTGTAAAAAAGGGAAATAAAAGAACCAATATTAAAGGTTGAGTTCAAACAAGACAACACCTGTTGTAACTAAAGGAATATATGAAAACAGACCAACCAGATCACAGATCAGGATTTATCTGTAAATCATTAACCTGCAGCATCAGTCTATTCTATTTCACAAGGAGAAACATTTATCACATCTAGCTAGTTTTCTTTTTATAATCCTGTAGAGTTTAGAATGTCTTCTAGTGTTTCTGTTCATAGATTTTCTAAATATAGGTGCTGAGATGAAAAAAAAAAAATCATATTCTTGTTTTGCAAAAAAGTAAAAACAAAAAACTTTTGTTATATTTTGTACCATTTTACATACAACACATTTATGCTTAATTTTAATTATTTTATAAAATATAACTAATCCGTTTTTTTTATATGCAGTAATCTTAATAAAAGCAGTTTTGAGTAAATGATAACATCTTAGTAGATATTAACATTTTACCAAAATGTTCTAATAAAAGCTTTCTAACAAAAGCCAAGCTCGTTTTTCCTCTTTTCTGTCAGTCTGGAAGTCTCAGTAAAAAAAAATAAATCAGTGTTGAACAGTCCAATCCAACTCTGGTGCAGGTGGTACCTACACAGGTGAGATGGCAGGGCAGATCCGATGCAGACAGCTGCCGATCTGAGCGATCACCTCATCCACCTCCTCCACCGAGGCCAGCCGGAGGCTCCAAGGCCCGCGTTCATGCTCTAAAACCAGCTGCAGGGGGCGACATGCACAAAGAAAACAATCCATCTCACCATTCATTTTAAAAAGCAGTGAATTAGCATGTTTCTAACATTATTTTTTGTGGCAAACAGAAAACAGTAATACAGGGTTATGGTCATGGGTTTAAAAGAAAAGGTTTTGTTGGCAGAAATGTGTTTCTTTGTCATAAAAATGTAATTTTCAAGTCTGAAAAGATGACTCCCTACCACAGCATCATTTCACAACAGGTGGGTGATCACATCAATATGACACAATGTATGACTTCAGGGCTTTTATTCGTCTAATAAATCATTTCAGTCATAAACCAATCTAATGGGAAAATTGTCTTTGCTGTTTGTACCTGAGTGGGCTTGTTGCTGCTGATTCCCTGAATATCCAAGTAGTTGAATGACTGGTCAACCTGGGATGAAGAGGAAAGCACAGATTAGGAAATTTACATACAGATAGTGTAAAGAAAGATTAGACAAAAGGAATTGGGGATGAAAATAACTGATAACATTAAGGGGGAAAATGGTCTAATATGAGGTAATTTGTGTTTCCTTACTGCCAGAAACCAAATGATCCAGTTCAAAATGTTGTTCTTAAGAGGATAAATTTATATGAAATCTTTCTAAATGTGTCAGCAATATGCATTAAGTTTAACCAAATGGATCCAAGTTTATTACATGGCTGCAGAATTTTTAATGCATTATTTGTAATGTTTTTTCATGTCAAAATCAAACAGGATGCACTTTTGGTTCCAGTGTGTTGAGAGTGCTGTGTTGTGCGAAAAGAAAAAAAACACATCCTGTTTCTCTGGAAAACTAGGATGTTCCTACTTTTTAAGCCTGGATCACAGCACTGACAGATACCCTGCATTTGGAGAGGATCACTTGCATCCTTAATGACAGACTAGAGGATTTTAGATGAATTTGGAAATGGTGATCATATTTATGGAGAAGTTAGAATACACTATGTGAGCAGAAACCTTAATCTACTGGGAAGTCAGCATTTTAATTTGGGCTTATCTATGTTTGTAGAAAGTATGAATTATTAATTTCCTGTTGCTTTTTATCACTCTAAATTAAGGTCTTGCAATAAAAAACATTGGAAAGAGTTTAGAGGTTTATAAGCAAATATTCTAGGTTTGTCCTTATCAGAGCTTTTAATGACATTTTTTAACACGTTTTAATAGAAAAAAATATGATGCAAAGGATTTATCTAACAAAAAATTGCTTGGAATGCATCAAAACCAAAACAAGAATTTGAGAAGCCATTAATGTGTTCAATTATGGTTTACATTGTGTTCCATAATAACATAAAATATATTTATTTTCTCCTTAGCTTCTGAGTCATCTACGGTAATTGTTTTAGGGAGTCATGGTTGGACAGATCAAAAAAACAAAAAGGAAAGCGAAAGAAGGTGCAAAGACAGTTCGTAACTGAACCTTCAGTTATATTTCCGAGCAAAAACTGCCTGAGCTGTAGAAAGTCTAAAGTGTTTTTTCTTGATTTGCAAATTTAAATATCTACCAAATATAATCTGTATATGAAAACACACCTTGGGGAGAAAGAAAAAAAAAATTTGAACCCTGAAGATCTTCCCTCTCTGTGCCACTGCATGATCTTTTAGTCCATAGAGAATTTCAAAGTTTTCAGCAAGTTTAGGCACGCCATGTTGTGCTTTCATACAACAATGCCAACAAATATGCCTCAATGATAACGGCGTTTACAGTTCAATGTGAATGAAGTTCTCTTGCTTCACCGTTGATACGAGCTGCAGTGGAGACAGTAAGGCAGACCTATCACTGCTGCACTTCGCTCAGGGAACAACATCTGGTGTAAAAGCCTGAGGCCAATGGAAAGGAGGCTGCTGTAAACACAGTTTAACCCTGACAGGAATGAGCTGCTTAAATGTTGAAGTGTGTTTAGTTATCTGAAAGCATCAGGTATGAAGACCTGATGCTCTTGTAAATTACCTTAAAATAACTCACAAAGCTCCAGCTCATTTCAGAAGAGAGGAATCATGTTCTGTTTACTCTTAGTAAGACTTAAAATGACAAATTCTGGTAACGTTGAACCGTTGATTAATAAGCAAGACCATAAAATTCACACTTGACTCCCAGAGGTGTTTCTCTGTGCAGAACAGAAGCATCTGAATGCATGATTCATAGGCTCACAGTTTCAAATGGGAACTGAAACTTTAAAAAAGCCAAGTAATTATTGGAAAGAAAGATCGAGGCGTGAAAAAAAAAATTCCTTTAATGAAAACAAAAGCTACAAACAATCTGTAGAGCAAATGTCTGAGGCGAAGTCAGACAATTTCATTTTCCTTCTAACTCAGAGCAGAAATGTTTGGTCTTCACGTGCTGCCAAAGGAGAGCAAGTGTAATAAAGGAAAGAGGTGGAGACCAAAAACGAGCAAGGAAAACAAAAGTGAAATAGAATCTACCATTCAACCCGATGATAAGCAGACTAAGATGTATATTCTATTGAGATTTAAGAGATTTCCTGAGAAGCAGATTTGAAATGAGTGTGAGAATGAAACTGAAAGGGGCACAGAGCAGTGCCCTCTCCTCTGCTCTGTTTGCCAGCTGTTAAATTCCTCCATTGTTTTCTTTTTTTTTATCTCTCCCTCTGCTGGGACAGTACACACTCAGGAACAAACCACTCTCTGTTTCACTCACACACATCCACACTAAGTTAGAAAAACCACTGACCCACTCTGGAACAACAGTTCAGGGGTCAGCTGGCAGAGCTGGACAACTTTGATTTTCACATTCTGTTTAGAGGTTATTTACTCATACTGATGTTTTTCAGCTGTGCTCCTTAAATAATTTATGTTCCAACATTTTTAGAAAGTTTCTTTTTTTTTTTAGGAAGGAAAATTTGGGGTCCAAATAACAGCTACTCTGACTGGTTTATTTAAATGCTATCTTCAATATTTTTATACAACTAAACTTCTGCATGAAATCTTCCATTTACCATTTTCTGAATCACCCATGCTTGTGTTGCCATATTTGATAGTCTCCAAGGAGCAGGGCCTTTCAAGTAATCAAATCGCCTAAAATGTTTTTTTTTTATATCTATCAGAATCATTTGTAACAGACCAAAAAAGGGCAGAAATATGAAGTGGGTCAAAAGTCATTTCCAAAGAAAATTCCTCTACTCAATTTAATCTAATATCCTCTGGAATGAAAAAAAAAACATCTTGTACATCATCTAAAAGTCATTCAATTAATGAATATGGTTATCTTAATTATAAAACAGCTGTTTTGTAAATGTCTCCGATGTTTGTTAAAGGAATATAAGGGATTACTATAAGGACTTTGCCCTGAAATCGAAGGGTTGACGGTTCAAGTCATGGCTCTGGCTTTCAGTGCCGTTGTTTCCTTGGGCAAGGCACCTCAACCACACTCTCTACTGATGGTGGTCAGAGGGCCCGGCGGTGCCAGTGTACATCCTCCTCACTTCTGTCAGTGATCCCTAGGGCAGCTGTGGCTACAATGTAGTTTACCACCATCAGTGTGTGTGCGTTAATGGGTGAATGATTGAATGTAGTGTAAAGCGCTTTGGTCAAGTCTCCTGACTTCAAAAAGCACTATAAAAATACAGGCCATTTACCAATAAAAGCAAAGGGCCCCTGGTAATGGTGGCGGTGCTGCAGAGACTTCGAATATGTAAATAGGACAGCCATTTTTGTAAAGTTGTCGACAAAACTGGTGGCTGTAGGTGAAATAATGCCATAAAAAGTTCTATGTGCAGTTCGCCATAAGCCATGCAGACACTGCAAACGTGTAGAAGACGGAGCTCAAGCTTAGACAAACTTTGTCATTTTGTATACACAGAGTGTATTCAAAACGAAATTTCCTCTCCATGGTGCAAAAAAACACATTGATATGGTCAGTTTGATGCAGAGTCTGTGACATGATCTAGATGGGTAATACTTTTCTTTAGCAGAGGAAGGGAAGCGGATTAGAGATGATGGAAAGGTGGAACAAATGGAAGACAATCCTGGAAGAAAACAAGGAGGCTGGAGACTTAAGACTGGGGCAGAGGTTCCTTACCACCAGGACAACGACTCAGTGACAATGGAATTCCCTAAATAACAGTGTATGTATATAGTAGGAAAAATCTGGTCTATATCGGATTTAGAAATAGTGACAAGCCACCCTGTATTCATACTTCCCAAACCTGAGTTTTTTTTATTAGTGGAATAGGTGAGGGCTCCATATTCAAATATGAAAAGATGACATTCTTCAACATAAGAAATAAAAAAGCAGCAGAATTTAAATGTATGAGCAAACAACACCTTTCAGATTTCAGTTGATAAAACACCCATATTTTTGTATCCTCCTTCCTGTTTATGTCCATACAAACTACCATAACATGCTGCAGACCAAATGACTCTAGATCATAGGAGGGAAATACCACTGGTTCCATATGGCTAAGACCATACGAGATACCATCTAAGATATTTCTCAATTTTTCAAACTCTTTTCATTCTAACCTGACCACAGGATTTGCAAGAACAAGACTGATCCAAACGAACTCCACCCTGCAAAACCACAAGACTAAAGGATGGGATCCCAGACTCGGAGCCAGACACCACGCAGCGTATGCCTAGAAATCCCACGTCCTTTACACAAACGCTCACAGCTGGTTTTGAAACATTAAGTCACCACACTCTACCACACAACCTTTTACATGCTTTTTATGATGGATACCGGACCAGACTTAATGAGGAAATCCTTGTGACCTCAAGTTATCGTTAGCAAGGATCCTGGAATTATGGAAAGAGAAAGAATAAACATACTGGGTCACTTGAAAAGAAAGAGTCTGTTAAACATTTTTTTTTTAACAGGATGATCTTCATCAACCGCTTTCTAAATGCGCCATCTATATCCGTTATATTTGGCATTTTGGACAGACTTACATAGCCAGCTGTGCTTCTGTTGTCATAGATCTTCCTTATTCGAGTGGCATTAGGGCTGATAAATGATTAACCAATGCATCTTCCTTGCATAATCACTAAGCTTATAACTAATTTGTAAAGCAATGATAGCTGGCTAATATTGTTAAAGTTTATTGAATGCACACTTTAGGGGTGTCCTGATACAGCTTTTTGTATTTCTGATACGATACAGATATTTCACCTTTGAGAAATGACTGATACCGATATTGATGCAATATGATCTCAATACGAATCACACATACTTTTAATACTTATTATCTAGTGTTGATTGTTAGAAAAGCTCTTATCTAGCTATATTACTCAAACAGAAAACTATAGTCAAATAACGCAACATGTTGTGTTTTTATGCGAATATTGGAGATTTTAGGTGCAGGCTGATATAAACATAAGAGTTTTTTTGCCTTTGTGTGGGTGTGTGTGCATGAGTGACTGAATGCAGTGTAAAGAGCTTTGGTCAAGTCTCCTGACTTAAAAAAGCACTCCATAAGTACAGGCTTTTTACTATGTGTGGACAATTGACAAGTTACAGCGTCTAATATCCCATATAAACAACCCCTCTGAAACTGATCCGAGCTTGGATCAGTTAACTGTGCCAACCTTGGATCTTACGACCATCGCGCTTGCACGGTTCTTGCCTCCTATTGGCGGTCCACGATACTACAGCTCTCGAGGCGGGAATTACGCAAACAAAAATGGCAGCACCCATAACATTCAGGAACTTATGTGCCTGGATACCATCCTCCGCCCAGATTTCAATGAGAAACTCAGTCTCTGCATCATCCCAGGTCACACCACGCTCTTTTGATACCATTTATCGTTAATAGACTGAAAAGAAGTTTGTATCGTGAACAGGTGAAGAGATCAATGAATTGTAAAGGCGAACATGCTGGAAAACCTGCAATATGAGTCAGCTGACTGTAAATAGGAGATGACATGATCTGCTCATGCGGCCTTTGTTATCAGAGAAACGAGCCACAGATTAAATGTGCCGAGCCCTACTGATGAACTAGTACTAGATTTAACGCGGTTTGATTGTGTCTGGCATTCAATTTACAGTCAACATTTATCTCGGTTACCGTGCTCGGACCGTTCTCGGTGCAGTTTCAAAAGGGTAGGGTAAATGGGGCTTAAGACCTTAAAGGTCACAAATTGGCTGGAAGTATACAAAAATGCAATACTAAGATATATTACAATATTTTGTAGCTCTAAAGAAAGAGAAAGAAAAAGGAGAACTGTATCATTACAACTTTATACCTCATCATCTGTTTAACCCATCCCTAAATGCAGAGCACAAACTTCACTGGCATGTACTACTGCAATTACAAATGAAGGCGATTATATTTGTTTTGCAGAAAATATGTTTGAAATATTTGAACTATGTACTAACTGTATGTTTCTCAGAACATTTATGCTCAAATTTAAGATTAGACTTTGATTATATAAATAAGGATTTTCTATGCATATCTATATTAGGTAGTATTAGGTCTTCACCAACAGTCCCTAATGTTCAAACACTCCCTGCTGAAAATATGCTAAAAATAATATTTCTACTTATTTATTTATATCTATTTAAGCCTCAGTGGGGGCAATTCACAGCAACCATAAATGTCTATTGGAATAAAAATAAAAGAACCCCATGTCATGATACCTCATAGTCATTTAAAGCTCATGATCTGTTTTTCCATGAAAACGAAGGATCCCAAATCAAAAACCCAAGCAGCTGACATCCTTCCTGACTTTACACCCATTTCCTTTCTGAATCAGACTTTCCCAACTATTTATAAAACTGTCTGGCTAAATTCTCATGCTTATAACCCATAACCTTTCAAAAACCTGAAAGGTTACCAGCAGCCAATAAAATTGAGGCTGAGAAAAAGGAAATGAGCTGAGTAATTTGAGAACAAGATTTAAATATAGCTTAACTTCTCTTATAATAAATTGACAATGTGATGACTTGAAGTTTCTGAGACAGTTTATCATTTCTAAGCTAAGGAAGTTCACAAGATCAGGCTTCAGTATTCTAAACATGTATTTGTATTCTCATGTTTACATCACATTTTTTGTGTAAGGTGTATAGATTTTATAGATTATAGATTTTTATAGATATTAAAAAAACAATCAATAAAAAAGTTATTTTGACTTATTGAAAATCAACAGGGATTCTGCTCAACTAGACAATATTATTACTCCTTTCTACTCCTCATTCCACAGCGTTTTTCTTTGTGTATAAACTCTGGCCTTCGAGTTTGAACTTTTTCTTCCTGTCACTGTTTTCCTTTCCCACAGGCTGCGTTCTCACAGCTGCACGGTGGGTAAGACTATCAAATATCTCCATATGGTGGGACCTGTTCTCATCTGGCAACAGGGACAAAGAGACTCCACATTAGAGAAAAGGAGGGTGAAAGGAAAAAGCATTGGGCTATTTTAGGAAAAATAATTTAAAACGGAGATCAGAAAAGAATTAAGCAGATAAATAATAAATGGATTAATGTTGATCAAAGCAGTTAGGTATACTTTACACACTGCAAGGTATAAGTAGCCATAATTTAGCACAAATGTTAAAGCAGCACCGTTTTTTCCCTTCCCGGTACCTAGAAGTTATCAGATTCAGCCAACAAAGCCCAAATATTGTAATTACTGCCTTTTAAAAAGGCATAAGCATGTATTTGCCAGAAAGTCATATTCACAATATAATAAGGAATAGAAATTTGCAAATAAACTAATTTCTAAATATTTTCTTACTTATATAAATAGATTTTTGCATGCAAAATAATTTTACTTTACACAGAAACACACAAATTCCGTAGTAAATAGAAAAGGTGCAGGGATTTGGGCAGTGACTTCTGGTCTAAAACAGAGAATTCGAATTATTATTTAGGTCAATAAAAGCACCACAACTGAGAGAGGGCAGTCGTTCAAAGTCCAACTCTGTTTAGTGTTTGGGAAGTTATTGAAAAAGGAAAACTAAAAGCTGTTGTTCCATTGAAGAAGTAAAAGAAAAAAACAAGAATGTTCTGTCTTTTCTAATAAAAGGTATTTCTTCTACAAAAGGGACAAACTTTAGCATACAACAGGAAGAATAAAAATAGTAAAACACTTTTTTTTTTAGATGTCCACCAATGTCTTTGAAGGGATCAAATGGATTTAGAAATGGTGGTATTTGTGTATTTCGGAAACCCCTAAATTTAGCCGAGGCGCACTTACTCTCCAGAGATTAAACACTACTGTTTGATCCAGAACGCTGCTGCCCGTGTCCTCACTAAGACTAAGAAAGTAGAGCACATCACCCCAGTTCTAAAGTCCTTACACTGGCTCCCTGTATCTCAGAGAATAGCTTAGCACCTAAATACATCACAGACTTGCTATCAGTGTATCAACCCTCCAGACCACTCAGGTCTTCTGGCTCCAGCCTGCTCTGCATACCTAGAACCAGAACTAAACATGGAGAAGCAGCATTTAGTTCCTATGCTCCATTTATCTGGAACAAACTTCCAGAAAACTGTAAAAGTGCGGAAAGCCTGAGTTCCTTCAAATAAAGACTAAAAACACATTTGTTTAGGATTGCTTTCAACTGTTCTAGTAAAACAGTTCAACTGAAACATCATTAGTTCAACGCTTTTTTATTTTCTTTAGTCCAACTGTTTTTAATGTTCTTTTTTGTTTCTGCATTTTTTTCCTACTTGCTTTGATTCTGTTTTATTTTCCTATATTTTAATCATGTAAAGCATGATTTGTACTGAATTGTGCTATACAAATAAATTTGCCTTGCCTTGCCTTGCCTATATCTAACTACAATGGTATTTCAAAATGTCACCTTTGTTATTATGTTATTTTAAAATCTCTGTTTTGCCTCCACATGTATTAACTTGGACACAACAGTTATACTGTATATTCTGAATGCATCTTGTAGTAAAAATATTTTGTGTTGTGGTGCACGACTACACGTTACCATATAAAAAAAAAAACTTATACAGCTATAAAATAGATAGCTTAGAGTATTTTAATGCATCAAAAGATGTCCAGGGGTGCAGGGACAAAGTATTGTATCCTTGGTCTGTTTCAGAGAATCATTTTAATTTTATTTGAAATAATCTTTTTGTAACAAAGTTGAAGGTTTGAATTTATTTAGAAGGTTGTTATGAAATTGAAACTGTGATCCATGCATCTCCATATCATAAGCTCCACACCTAAATGAGAATTTAAAAAACTGTTTTTTAAGGAGAAGGAACAACTTAACCAGTAACCTAACCCTATCCTAAACCAAAATAATATATGGTGCTATATTAGAATGACATCATCACATCAATATGCAGCTCAACTAACCTTAGAAGGAACCCGTGCTGTCAGTAGGTAGGCTCGATGTGAGGCCAAAGCCTGCAGAGAGAGAGACAAGAAAAACGGTTAAGTAGAGAAGTTTTTACAGCGGTTAAATCAATCATCCATCCATCCATCCATCCATCCATCCATCCATCCATCCATCCATCCATCCATCCATCCATCCATCCATCCATCTTTTTCCACTGTATCTGGGACCGGGTCTCAGAGGCAGCAGGGTAAGCAGAGATGCCCAGCCTTCCCGATCCACACACACCTCCTCCAGCTTCTCTGGGGGGACCCCAAGGTGACACCAGGCCAGCTCAGAGACATAATCGCTCCAGCGTGTCCTGGTCCTTCCACGAGGCCTCCTCCCAATACAACATGCCTGGAACACCTCCAGAGGGAGGCGACCAGGAGGCATCCAGAACAGATGCCCAAGCTACCGCAGCTCGCTAAATCATAAAAGTACCTAAGATCATTATTAAAGAAATACATTATTATAGTTTTTTAAACTCTATGCTAAAGTAAATAAAAAACATTGAATATTGTTTTTCTCTTGATAGTGTAGCAAGGTGGACATTCCCAATTTTTGACAAATTAAGCTGGATTACAAAGCGCTTAACGTTTGAAATAGAAGACAGGGTATAAATTAGCTCACTTTCAGACCAAATATAGCTGGATAATTCCCTCCTTAGGTTACAAACCAACACGTTAGCATTTTTTCCCTGGCCTAGGGTTGCAAAGCATGGAGGCCTCTTAAGAGGTTTCTAACGGAGTGTGATAATAATATATATTATAGTAATCCACGTGTTTAACCACAAGGTCAGCGTTCCTTTTGGCTACCCGCTCAGCACATGCTAAGGTGTTTCATTCTGGCAAAATTAGCAACTTATTTTTACCCAAAATGTTTGATATCTTTGCAGAATTGCTTCTAAATGGTGGAGGTTAATAGTCCATGTGACTCTTTGTAATGATGTTTTAAAAAAATGATAGGGGTGGATTGCACAGAAAGTTGGCCATGGTTGACAGGAGGCAAAGCCAGCTGTAACATTTACAGTAACCCATTGTATAGCTGAGGGAGGTCTCTCCAGGTCACATCTGCTTAGGACAGGCTTCCAGCAAACAAGATAGAGTCCTCGCTGGCAGAGTTCCAGATATTAGGCTGTGATAGTGGTCTGCCTGAGGAGGGAGCAACAGGCAGGGTCACATAAAAAAAAAAAAAACTGGTTTTAGTTTGAGAAGTCAGAAAATATTTGTGTTCAGGTGTTTCACAGATGAGAAGAGTTTTGGGAGGCATGTGGATTCAAGCTGGAAGACCCAAAGAAGAGGGAAGTAAGAAGCATTCCTACATCTCAATGCAATTTAGTGTCAGAAGTGAGAAGACCACAGTTGAAATAAAGATTAAGGACTGTAAAATAAAAAAAATAAAAAATTTTAATCCTCATCCCTGCTTTTTTAAGAAATTACATTGTTATCCTTTAAAACAGCTTTAGCGTTCTTTCGACTGCCTGAAAGTCTCTCAGAGATTCCACACTTTTTATACTTGGATGGTAGCCGACCTTTAGAAAAAACAACTCTTAAAACAAATAACACCTTCAAATGGAAAAAAAAATCATCCAGCTTTTAAATTTTCTTAAATAAAAAGCAAACATTTGAATAGTTTAAATACAACTAAGAAAATTATTCATAAAAATTTTATTCTAACACTGTCAGTTCTCTGTAGCTATAGTTTATCACAAAAATTCCAATTACTTGTAAAATGGCAGATTTGTCCACCTTTAATCCAACATTTAATCTGTATAATTCTAGGAAAAACATTAATAGACAAAAATATCCTAGTTGCAAAGCTGTCCACACCTTTAATCTAATATTTTGTAGTATCTTTAAAACTCACCTAAGCATTAGGCCTTTTCTGGTGGAGCTTTTCAGTATCCTACATCTTGACTCTTTAGTATTTGTGTCACTCTGCCAGGCCAAGATTCTCTTGCTCCATAAGAGAGTAAAGACATCTGTTTTCCATACCTTTCCATCTTCATGTGATTTTCCATAAGATTTTGTTCTGAACTCTGCACTAGGCCCTTTAAAAACATCAAATGTACTCTTTTTAGGTCTTTCTTGTGTTGCTGTGGATTTGGTTGGAGCTACTTTAATCCCAAGAAATGAAACACTTCTTAATCTCCAGCTCTACAACAAACACCTAAAGGTCAATAATGCACCAAAATGATGCAGTGTTGTCACTTGATCTTGTCCCAAAGCAAGCTCCCTCATCAGCGTCTGTTTTGTCTTTTTATCAGTTTTAGAAAGACAGACGGATCTAAATGAAATCAACATAACTATAAAGTTGATCAGCAGTGAGATGAATGGTGTATGTCCTGGACGGCCGCTCTAAATTTAGAAACAGTTGATGAACACCTGTAGATGATATTCCTCTACAATGCAGTTCCAACAGTGGAAAGTTAGAATTGGACCTTTAATACAGTAAGTTCTCCTTTAACCTCCCTAACATACTAAATGACCTTTTCCAAATGAAATGCAAATTAAACTTTCATTTTCTTTTTTTTTTTTTTAAAACAACAATCGTTGAAATTCTGGCAGCTGTTTTTTTTTTCTTTTTATCCCTTCAGAAGTCACTTGACACAAGGAGGGTGACACTAGAAATGTTGAGGTCATGTCCTGGATCCAGCTGTCCGTAGGCACTCTTCAAGCCCTGTCTCCACTCCAAGTCCAGTCCTTGTGCATTCGCATCAAAAAATTCTTTCAAAGCTGCAGTCATTTCTGGTGTTTGTGCAACTTTCTCCCTTCCATTTAACTTTCCATTACTATGCTTGGTCAAAGAATTCTGAGCAGCTAATGCCTGTTGTGTTTTACCCTGCATGTCTGAAGGGTGACAGTGACCATCTGCTGGGCAACTGTCAAGTCAGCAGTCGAAAACCCCACCAACAGAACATTTCTATATTTAAAATCTCTATAATCATCAAATTTAATAGAAATCATTAGTTTAAAAACATAAATTAATTAAAAACAGAGTTAGGTATTTAAGTAATGATTTCTTTTAAATTTGATCAGTTTCAGTTGAATCAAAACATTAAAATAAATATTTTCAGTAATCAAATTTTGGTGAGGTTTCCTGTCCATATATTAATACCAATTTTTTTTAAGCTTTCTCATGAATAATAAATGTATTCAATCTAATCCTTTTGTCAGATCTCTGCAAAATTTCAATAAATGATATAAACAAGAAATGGTTGGAAAATAAATAAATGGAATTTCCTTTTACTTAAATATTAAGAAAAATAAAAAAATATTCCATTTAATGTTTGACAAAATACATGTCAAATTAGTTCAAACTGTACTCTCTCCTCAATCCTTAACCAAAAAAGATGTAAGCTGGAGGCCTGGTTGCTGTCAAAAGACCTACTAAGGTATTCGACTTGCATTTAAAGTTTATCTGAATTAATATATTTGATGGCAGAGGTGAATCAAAAACAAAGAAAGTAAACCCAAAAGCCCAATTTAGGATCTCTAAACCAAAACCCTCTTAGTTGTTACTGTTTTTATTTACTGTGGTAAATATGAGTCAAAATACACAAGGGTTTAGATTGTTTATTATTATCACAGTATTGCCTTGCAGCAGCATTGTCCTTTAACAGTGCTGAACATTTTAAAGGGGCAGTACAGGCTGTATTCTGATTCCTAACATCATGTAATCATGACTGAGCTTGTAGCAGGATTTTCAGCATCAGCATTTAGATGAAAGAACTCACTGTCAGTGGTTTTAAATTTCTCCTTCTGAAATGTAACATCTTTTTTCTGTCCTTACCAGGTTATTGTAACACTCTAGTACAGGGAGAACTTTTCCTTACCTTTGATTTGTAAGAGTTGAATTATATTTTGACATTAAGGTAACATTATGAGGGATCTGATTTATTTGAATGCATTACTATGTGGGTTTTCAATGCTAGGAGCTACAGCTGTGGAATGTAGCAGAAGTGTGTGTCCCAACACCCTGTGGCTCTGAGTGGGCCGCTTTAGTCAAGTCCTGACAGGAGCTGTAAAGCTTTGGTATGTGGATTAAAGGAAATAAATGTGTTACAACTATGAAAGATCATAAATCTTTTTAAGCACACTTCATTGGCTAAATAGAGGAGTAAACGGACACACTGACCAAATGTGTTTGTTTTACGTTTTCTGAAATATCTCATGCTTTAATTAATCAACATGCCTGTAGTCATGTGAAACCAGACACCCTGCCAAAATAGTACCCACACTCCACTGCTATGTGACTCTCTGCTGTGCTCACCATGTTTTAACAATTCCTAGAATCTGCAACTAAACAACCTTGATAAGTCTGAGAAGCTTCGCATGTGAACCGCTCTGTCTCTCTAGAGGTTCTAGTGCTATTTTTGGAAACAAAATAATGAAGAACACAAATCTAGTATCTGCATTAGGAGCCAGAATGGCCTTCATGATAACTGCAGACACTTTTAGGCAAGTTTGTGCTTTTGATCTGAAGTGGGCAAAGGGGTCTTGGTTGCAGCTCCTTTAATCAAAGGAGAGGAAATCTTAGAGGAAGGGAAACCTTAAAGCAGTTTTAAGAATAAAAACAGAGCTGAAAAGCTTCTTTCAACTTTCCTGATAACCGTTCTAATAATCTTTAAAAATAAACACATAAAAGCCCCTCTTTCAATCATCACCAGCATCCATCTTCCTCTTTCTTTTTGACAAACATTGACCAGTCAGCCCAACAACACAATCCTTGGGGTGTAACCATTCAATGTTTTTAGATCTATAGTAATGATCCTGCTGAGGTTCCTTCAAAATAAAATGGGCCTTTAGTTAAGGACCAAATAGATATAGCTAATCATATGCAAACTTTATCATCATAAAAATGTTAAAGCTGGCAAACGACACAGTCCTTGTTCTCTATGTAATTAGCGATGCACCGATACAGTTATTTTTTTCGATCCGATACCTGGACTAAGCGTATTGGATTTAACTGTTAAATAGCTTTAGTCTTGACATTAACATTGTAAAAATAAAAAAATAAAATAATTAACACATATATAGCTGTACTTTATATTATTTATTACAAATAAGCAGCAAAAAGAAAGAAATAACTGTTCCATGTAAATTGCACTCGATTGGGTCTCTGATATCAGACCATCGATATCTGATCCAGCAACGATATCCGATCGGTGCACCTCTACGTATGATAACAACCTCACTGCAAACTCAAACAAGCATCAGCTTGTACAATCACTATCAGATACGTTAAGAGGATATTGATAATTTACTGAAAAAAATTACAACATTAGAATTAAAAAAGAAAAGACAACAAAAAGCCAATTGCCAAAAGTTTGGTACAAAATGACTATGTTTGTTTGTTTATCTCCTGTCCTGTAAAGTGAAAACAATACAAGTCATGGAAGACATTGACAAAGTTTTACTGATCAATTTAAAGAAACGGAAGCAATCCTCCCTGATTCTCCCGCTACCATTTATTTGGAGCCGTTTTTACAGACGTGCTCTATGATTATTCCAAAACCGGAACAAACACCAATAACACCCCTTATAGCTAACTCCTGCTTTCATTAACGTTATAGAACCTTTAAGAGCGATGTTCAAAGACACATTTAGATGCTTTTTGTAGTTCAAAGCAAATTTTAATAAGCTGCAGAGTTCATGTTTAACATTTCTCCATGTGTGTAATTCCTTTTGCATTAAAGGTTTTATAATACAGAGATACATTTTGGACATTTTGTTGTTTATAAGAATGTCTTCCAGCTTTTACTTTATTCCTTATCTTTGCTCCTTTTCCTGCTGTAACATGCCCACACTATCAAAGTTCACTGGATGCTTCCGGTTAAAAACAACATGTAACCAGTCTGAACATTTCACAATCTGCTCAGATAAGGCCTCAACAGGAGGAGGAGTCTTTAAAATATCACCTCCAAGCCTGTTTACATCACTTCCACTAGACCTATCAAAGAAATCTGAGCAGTTTTACTCACCAGTACTCGGTTCTCCACCTTGTCACCTTTGACCTCCAGCTGGACTTTGCGCCTCAGGGTCAGTTTCACCGACCGGCCCACTGCCTCCCGCACACTCTCTATAGCATAGGGTGGAGAAAGGGAGAAGAAAGCACAATTAAGACAAAGACAGCCAAAGGAGGGTCACATTACAACTAATTACACAATAGGTGTGCATCTGTGGGGGAGGAGGGGGGATCACAGCCTGAACTTCTGGATGTGGGTAACCTGTTGGTCACTGGGCTGGCTGAGCCATGACAGCATAACTCAAAGTGAAACTGATTTCATGATTAAATTATAAGTAATCAGCAGTTTATTTTAGGATTAATCACATGTACATTTAGATTAAGGAAAATCTTGTATGAAACTTTGCAGATTAAATAAGTCCTGCAGTGTGATGAATCTGTGAATGTGGGTGAAGGTTGGTGACTTTGTTTCCTCGAATCTCAATCAAAACAAAAGACATCAACCGTAGCGTGAAAGACATTAATTTAGTGTAAACAAAGTCTGAAAGTTTTAATAAACAGCATGGCTGTCAGGATTTAACCTCTATGACCAGTGAAGTCTTTATAACTCTACATCCCTTCATTTTACTCAACTTTCCAGCTTAAATGTTACTGTGTGAACATTTTTTTTTCTTGTTCTTATTCAGTTTTAAGTCTGTATGTTTTGGTGCTTTGGGGTTCATCCCTTAGATGCTTCCTATTTAAAGAAAAAATCATTGTTGAAGCCTTAAAGGAAAAAAATGACATGAAAGCAGGAAAACAGACTCATGCTTTGCTGAAGTCCATCCTGTTTTTACACATACTGTAGATCACTCAATGATGTTTAACAGTACTTTACAAAACATATCTGAGAATTAGAAAAATGGATCACTTCTTATTTAATATCAAATATGTTGATAAGGGGTTGGTCACTTGGAGGTTTAAGCACCTGGTGACTTCATTTTAACAATAAAACACATCCTTAACTATTAAATTGCTAACTAATGTTAGAAGTCTTTAGATTTTGAGGCACACAAGTTTGTTCTTTCTATCTAGAATGTTGGTAGTTTGACATAAAATCATTAACTAAGTAAGAATACTGAGTTAACAATAGGACTGGGAAAGTAATCGATTTAATTGATTATTCAAATCTTTGTCTTATTTATTTTACCCCACCAATACACTCCTTGGGTTTCCCTATCTCAGAGTGACATCAGTTATTCCCTTGTTTTTCTTAGACGCCAAATAATAACTGATAAACTAGTTAACTATGTGATACACCAGATATTTAGAGTTAAATTATCATTGTTTGTTGAGAAACATGACTGTTATACAAGCATTTTTACAGGGTAGGTGAGGTTACCCTTTAAATGAAACTCACCTCCCATGGGGATGAGTGAAATCAAAGTTAGTTTTTAATGTATGTTTGCATGTCATTTTTTTTTTATATCTATCATTAAAAACTTAATGAATAAAAAAATTCCTATTAATATAACTTTGGAAGGAAAAAATTGAAGATTAGTCTTGCCATATCCACATAGTTACTAGATATGAATATATAGCTAAAAACACAGAGCTCAATTTAGTCAGAATCTATATAACCTCACAGAGATGTGTCTCTAAGCAAAGCGTGTTTACTGCATGATAAAAAAAATAAATAAAAATAACAGAATAAAATAAGAAAATAAGAAGTCAAATTAGGTATACATTTCTATACATTTCTTAATCTAATCTAAGCATTGTGTCATTTTGATCATCTAAACGGAGAAACAAAAAGCAACGCTGGCCCCAATAATTGGCCTAAATATATCGGCGGCAAATATCAGACTGATGTGAAAATATTCGGCATCTGCCTCAAAAAAAACT